TCTTATATCTCAATAACCTATATATCTATGATGGGTACAAGGACGCATGTGATTTTGTGAGCATTTAAGGATTCATACAAGGCATAGCGGTATATCTCTATCCCCTATCAGACCCTAAGATGATTTATACCCTGTCGAACTCACTCTCCTTCACTCGAATGCATGAAATAAGTTACCATATTCATATAATTACGTGCACATAATTATTGAAACAATTAATTGTATACAAATCATTCAAAACTCAGGCACGTGTTTCGATGTCAAATTTGCAAAAACTAGAAAGTAAAAATCACATCACTAAGTTCGTCAATCTCCTAGTACATGAAAACCTAGCCAACATGGAGAAAAGAACAAAATACATCATGGTTGTAAGAAACGACATCACCGATATATGACTTGGCTTGTAATTTCCTTGATCGTCGAGTTTCTCCTCGTGATTATGGTGTAGAATCCTTTCCAATATGAGTTATTCTTCTTCCCCAGATGTTCCCGTTCAATTTGATGATTTTAGGGTTTATATATCGCGTCCCAACGAAGTTTCACAAGAGGTTTAACGAAAACAGGAAACTGCAGCATTCGACCCCGAAATTGATCTATGCTACTGCATAGCTATATACTTATACTTCATAGTAAAAATATTTTTGGCCCTTGAAATCTCTGATGCATGCATGCGACTGCATGGGCATTACTACTATGCGACCGCATAGTAGCAAAAACTTCTTGAAATTGTCCTTTTGGTCCTCGAAACTAGTTCTCTTCAATTTTGACTCGTTTATTCATTCTCTTCACTCAATACATCAATAGTGGCCTCCAATTGGTACTTGGCTCAATCGAATCCTTGATTACTCCTTCAGGTCATCTTTTGGATAATTGCACTTTGGTCCTTAGACTTTCGTTTTTCTCCATTTTGGTCATTTGTTTCTTCCTTTGATGATCCCGTATTATCCTCGAGTTGATATTTAGCTCATTTTCATTCTCGATTCTCCTTTTGGTTCAACTTTTGATTATTTGCACTTTAGTCCCTGAACTTTCATTTTCTTTCATTTTGGTACCTTTTTGCACCTTTTCTCTTGAATTCCATTGAATTAGTCAAGATAGTCCCACAAAATAAAATTTAATAGAATTACGCTGTATTCCACGGTATTTATCATGAAATAGTCATGTTTTGTGGCTTGAATAAGTGTGTAAAAATACACTTATCAGAACCGAGCACTGAAAAGTCATCCATGAAGACTTCAATAATTTTCTCCATCACATCTGAAAAGATTACCGTCATGCATCGTGGAAATGTGGCAAGGACACAACCCAAATGATATCTTTCTGTGTGCAAAAGTATCGTAGGGACATGTAAAAGTAGTTTTCTCCTGATCTTTTGGAGCTACTACAATCTAATTATAACCTAAATACCCATCCATGAAATAGTAATGTAAATGCCCCACTAGTCTTTCCAACATCTGGTCGATAAAAGGTAAGGAAACATGATATTTTCTAGTTGCTTTGTTCAATTTTCAACAGTCTATACATACTTTTCATCCCATGACTGGTCATGTCGGTATGAACTCATTATTCTCATTCTTTGCCACTGTAATACCTCTTTTTTTTGGAATAACATGGATCGGACTAACCCTCTTGTTATTAGAGATCGGATAAATGATGCTTACATCAAGGAGTTTCAAGACCTCTACTTGCATGACGTCCTTCATGGTAGGATTTAATCTAAGCTGATTTTCCACTATTTGCTTATACTCTTCTTCCATCAAGATTTTTTGCACGTATTTCGATGGACTAATCCCTCTGATGTCTACTATAGATTACCCAATAGCTATTTTGTGTTCCCGTATAACCCTTAGTAATCTCTACTCTTCCAATTTGGTCATCTCATTGGCGATGATCACAGGGAGCCGAAATGACTCTCCTAAATAAGCATACCTTAGATGTGATAGCAATTACTTCAGCTCAAGATTTGGTGCTTTCCAAATAGAATGTAGTGGTTTACTAGGCTTTGTACCAAGTTCCTCAAATTGTCTTCTTCTGATGGGCGTAGTAGACTCCATAATGTAAGGGATCTGGATTATCTTTTCAATTGCTATTTTTTTATCTTGTGAGTGTACAAGAAAATTCTCCAAATGGTTTTGAGGGTGCTCAAGAATGAAAGTCTTTTCTATGGCCAAATCTACCTATCCATATGAAAACAACTATTTGATTCTGTAGGATACTTGATAGCATTGAAGACATTAAATGTCACTTGCTCATCATTTAGTCTCAACATCAATTATTCTTTCTGAGCATCTATTAAGGCTCGACATCTTGCGAGAAACGATCTTCCCAATATCAATGCTACGTCTTTATTCTTCTCAACCATGTCCAGAATGACGAAGTCTGTAGGATAAATAAATTTATCGACCTTTACCAGTATGTCTTCAATAATTCTCCTTGGGAATTGTATAGATCCGTCAACTAACTACAATGAAATCGATGTTGTCTTTTCCTCTTCCAAGTTTAATTTCTTGAAAATAGAGTAAGGCTTGAGGTTAACGATAGCACCCAAATCACATAGAACCTTATCAAATTTTATGTTACCAATAGTATTAAAGATAATGAAACTCCCTTGATCCTTTAGTTTAGGTGGCAGCTTATTTTGTAAGATGGCACTGCATTCTTCATTTAACATTATTATCTCCAAATTCTCCAGCTTCTTTTTTGTGATATTTCCTTCATAAATTTCATATAGATGGGAATTTGTATTAGTGCATCCACAAATGGTATGTGGATTTGTAGCTTTTTGAATACCTCAAGAACTGCTTGTCCTACTAATGCTTTAGTAGCCTATGTGGGAATGGAAGTGGCTGAACCATTTATTTGGCAAGAGTGATTACCTTAACCTTTAAATCCTCTTATGCATCTTCTTGTCTTTGTTCTGTAGATTCCTTCAAGTGCTCCTCATTTGTAGTATATACCTTCTCTTGTGTAGCAACTGGCCTCCTCACATTTAGCTCAGTTAGCTGTACTCCATTGCGAGTAGTTATAGCCTTGCAGTGTGCTTTAAGGTTTGTTTTAGTGTCATTGGGCAATGTTCTTGGTAGTCTTTCTGAAAGTGCCTTGGCTATTTATCTTATTTGATTTTCCAAATTTTTTACGATAGCTGATAAGTGTATTTTTGTACACTTATTAGGCACTTAATTTAATATAATTATTGATGAAAAGAATGGAATTCTACTCACAATTAAGTAATATTTGCTTTTGTAGGTTAAAAATCACTCGTAGTAAGAGAACAAAGCAAAAAAAGAGGAAAATGGACTAATAGTGTACAAATTTGTGATGTTGGGGACCAAAATGCATGTGTCAAAATTGGAGGAATAGTGATGCAATTTACGGAGGGCATAATCCAAAAGAAAAGTCAAACTCTAGGGACCAAATTGTACAAAATCAAAAGTTGAGGGACTTGGCATGCAATTATTAAGAGAATAAGATGCAAATTATGCCAAAACCCATTTTTTGGCTGCTGGACAGAAACAGGGTGCCTAGGCACCATTTTTTCATATTAAAAAAGGGCCCGAGACCAATTTGTTCATTTTCCAAAACTTCAGGGCCATGGCTGCAATTTTGCTAAGGGCACGATTTCTTCAGTTCTTCAATTCGGTCTTCTGCTGGGCTCCGTTTTCTGCTGGGTCTTTCTTTCTTTTTTATTTTATTTTACTTTCATCTTCTTTTCTTTTCCTTTTCTTTTTTCTTGGTTATTTTGGAGATACAACATAGAGCAACAAGGAGATTACATCAAGCATTTAATAAAGCATTTGGGGAAAATCATTGCAAATCTACAAAAAAAGGGTTTTATCTATATCTTTGTATTTTCTCCATTATTTAGCCATATTTGTAATACATTGTAGTAATATACTCCTTTGTTGTCATTTATTTAACATGGGCTAATTTAATGAGTTGTGATTTATAGTATTAGTTTAACCTAGTTTTAATTGATTTTTCAATATTTGCTATTTGATATTAAATTGATTATTTCCATGTGTTTCTACTATTGTATCTATTGTATTTTCATTTATGTGGCCAATGAATAAATATGTTTCGTGAAGTGTACATAGTTCGAGAGAAGATTGTGCATTTTAGACTAAAATGGTAGAAACTCTAGGTTTGTGTAGAGGATAGATATATACCTCTAGCCCTAGGTGGCTCAATGAGCTATTTTCATAACAATTTAATGCGGTTGTTTGGTTGTAATCGACATAGAGATATAGTAGGTTAAACCAATCAATTAGGGTAATTAGCTAAAATTGGAAAATCGATTAAATGAGTAATTCGTTAATTGACATGTGGAGAAATTAATTAGGCGACGGTTAAGCGAAACCATGAATCCCAACCACGTTTTTCTCCAAAATTCCCAAGATTCCCATATTTTCTTAGTTTGTATGTTTTTTTCCTCAGTTTCTAAAATCAACTCTTTATTGTGTGTTTTTTTATTTTCATTGTTAGAATTAAATTGATTAAAGTTGTGTAATTTAAAGTAAACATTCCTTGAGGGATCGAAAACCCGGACTTCAAAAGTCCACTTTATTACTTGAACGTGACCCGTGCACTTGCGGTTGTATTTTAGCGAACAATAGCACCCTGAACTTGCAAGCTCTTATCCATTCGTTGCATGTGTTGAGTGGATATTTTTGTTAACTTAGTCACAAGATCTTCTAGTGAAGACTTCTTCCGATTCTACTAAAATCCAGGTGGTATAGTCTATTGTGGCGCAATTTGAGCTCCCTGATTTTTACTACATTGAAAGCATGGGTGATTTTTCTAGCCTGGGTAGTAGGTATTAGGATTAGGATTTAGATTGTGTTGTTCCCTTTGAAAAATTCTGAGTATAGTTCACATCTTCTACTGTTTGAGCGAAATGAGATCCTATGTTACAATCAACACTCTTGTGGCCACCTCCATAATGTTTGCATTTTGGTCCCACTGTTCAAGTTGCATTCATCTGATCTACTTTTCGATGCCAACTATGTTGAAATTATAGCCGCCAATAAATCAACCTCAAACATCCCAACAATTTTCTTTCCACTCGCCCTTTCAATAGGCCAAAGTGTACTAGTGAATGCTAAATCATCCATGATTTGGTAGACTTGATCTATTGTTCTTCTCATGATAAAACCATCATAGGTAGAATCTACGTTAGCCCTGCTAATCGGATTCAGATCAACGTAGAAGTATTGCATCAGAAGCTACTTCTGTAATGCGTGTTGTGGGCATTGGCGGATTAAACCTTTGTATCATTCCCATGTCTTCGAATAGCATTCTGAGTCCTATTTTTGGAAACTAGTAATCTCATTCCTCAGCTCTACACTTCTTTTTAACGAAAAATATTTGTTAAAGAATTTTTGATTCAGTTGGTTTCATGTAGTGATGCTCTGTCTTCGGTAAGTGTCTAACAACTCCCTTGCTGAGTCTCTCAATGTGTATGGGAATAGCCTCAGTCTGATCGCTTCGTTTAACATTCCTGAATACTCGATAATTGGACACATGTCCAGAAATCTTGATATATGAGTGTTGGGATTCTCCGTAGCTTTTCCAAAGAATTGTAGAGCATTTTGGAACATGTTGATAACATTTGTACTCAGGTGGAAGTTTACCTGACCAAATGCTAGATATACGATACTGAATTGGTTTTCCACGATTCGTGAAACCATATATTCGCCCATGAGCCTTGCATTTTCATTAGTTGCATCTACATTTGGTCGTACAACTCCTAGACTAACTCCAATGGCTATTTGATTTGGATTTTCATTTGTCATTTCATCCTTTTTCTGTTTTGGCGTGTTTCCAACTGTTGTCTTCTTCAAAGGTTGAATGTTCATTCGATTTTTGGGTCAAATTGAGTAAGATCACCGATTCTTGAACTTCGCATACAACGTCCTAAAAAAGGAAGCAAGAAAACTGTTAATTTTTTTAATATAATTAGATAAAAAAAGTAAAATTCATATTAAAATTAATTAAAACTTATCAAAAACAATAGTTCCCGGCAACGACGACAAAAAACTTAACCCTTTGAAAACTCTAAAGTAGATGGGATCCTAATGTGTCGAGTGTCAAACCGACGAGAACTATGTGTTTTGTTGAGTTAAAGCTATTAATACCCTTAATTGAATAGCAATAAAAAGTTGTAGCAAATCGAAGTCTAAATTATCAACTAACTTGAAAGAAAAGTAAAAGTTTATCAAATTTGTGAGATATATTGCTAAGGTATAGAATCCTTCTTGTAATCCATTTTTTGTTTCAACAATTTGAATTGACAATTCGAAATCATGCTTGTTGGTGATGTTCCTATTTTAATTAAAAGCTTCTCTCGAGAGCAATTAAATCTAATCCTATACGTAGCCATCCTATATCTCTATGAAAGATACGAACGTATAAGAAAGCATTAAACGAGTTAGAACATCTATAAAAATCATGTGAAGCGTAGATGTATATATTTATCCTCTATTGAACTTCACAATATTTATTACTACGTGCTAATGATCCTACTATATTTCTCAATGATAATAAAACCCACAAACAATTCAATTAATTCCAGTTAAATGGTAAGCAAACTAAAAAATGATAAACATCCAAACATTCAAGCAGATTAACGTCAATTCAATTATTTAAACTAAAAACTTCATAACAAGGATTTATCTCATCCTAGTAATATAAAAACCTAGCCAAGCATAATGAAATGACAAGAACACATTCTAAAATTAATAAAAATCACCCGAAATTTAAATAATTGGTGAGAAATCTTAAATTCTTGAATGACTTCGATGAAATCCTAATATCTCTTGAAGTTTCCTTCCAATCCTTGTGCAATCTTCCTAGTGTGAATTATGCTTAATAGTTTTCTTGCAATTCCTTGATTGAAATCTCTCACAAAGATAAACTTGCTTGTTTCTCCAATATGATTCTCTCATTTTCTTGAGTTGTTTCCTGCATAAAAAAGGCTCTTCTATGAGTATGGAACATTCTATTATTTAAATGGCTCGAATCTAGATTAAAATATCACCTAAATCATTGCCATGTTGAGTTTTAATTGTATAAGGCATCCTGAAATTCGGTCGAATTTTTACATTATGCGACTGCATAGTTCATTTGTATGCGATAACGTAGTTCAATGTTGAACTCCATTTCTTTGTCCTGTGTAGCACTATGCAACCACATATGTTTTTGAACTATGTAACCACATAGTCCAAATTTTTTTCTCCGTCAGACAGTCTTTAAATTTTTTGGTCATAACTTTCTCTTTTAATATCTGACCGGGCAATCTAAAGTGTGTTAGAAAGCTAATTCAGCTACAATTTTTAATAGAATCTTTCAAATTCAGATGTTTACTATGCCAAAAATAGGTGTTAAATAGAGACTGAAAAATCTAAAACGTAAACTTTTCATTTAACTTAGCACTAATTCAAACTTTTTTGCTTTTATTTTAGTGCTTCTATTTTACCTTTAAGGCATTTTATGTAAAAATCTGGAAGAATTGAACTGATACAAGCTGATTCAGAAAATTAAATGAACTAAGAAAAGCAGAGCAACAAGAGATAGCTAATGTACAAAATAATTCGATTATTCAAGTAAACGAAGGGCAGTGATTGATAAAGGGAACATGTAGTTGGGGACTTCACAAATTATTCAGAGCAATCCATCATCGTTTCTCCTCCAATTGGATAGTCAAGTTTTCGACTAAAAAACATTGCCATCAATTTGTTTTAGAATGGACATCAATTTTATGGTAGGCTCGATGAAAAGCCACATACACATCTATAAATTTTTAGAGATATATCAACACTTTAAATAACAAGAGGTTTCAGATGATGCTAGTAGATTAAGATTTTTCGTATATTCTACATGGTAGAGTGCTTGAATAATTAGACTCACAGACTATTGCCAGTATCCTATTTAGAATGACATGGCTAAAAAAGTATACACCAAATTCTTCTCACCAAAAAAGATATAAAAATTGAAGCATGAGATATCCATATTTTGGCAGGGAAAAATCGAATCCTTTGACAAAGCATGGAATAGATTCAGAACATGCTTCGAAACTGTCCTAATCATGGCACTAGTAAAGGGCTCTAGGTCCGATATTTTTATGCAGGTCTACGTCCATCTTACAAAAGTATGGTTGACTCATCATCCAATGGCTCCTTATCTACAAAGATAATTGATGAACCCTTAAGGTTGTTTAAGAGAGTGGCTACTACCATAGCCATGTGGGATTCTGAGATGGTTGTTCATAAGAAGACAGCAGGACTATATGAGGTGGACACTTATGCATCGTTATTTGCAAAAAAATGATTCTTTGGTTCATAAGGTTGAGAGCATATCACAGTTAGCCAATGTAGTATAGGTCAAGCAACTAAGTTGGGAAGAATGTGGGATAGATCACACTATAGAAGATTGTCCAATTCTTGCACATTGAACATCTTGAATATGTACAAGGAGGTCATCACCAACAAAATAACCTACATTCTGACACATACAACCTTGGTTGGAGAAAGAATCCAAATTTTCTTAAAGTAACTCCAATTGCATCGCATGGCTATCAGTATTAGCATCCTAAGAAGAGAACTCAGCTAGAAGAGATGTTTGACAAATTTCTGGAAAAAACAAAGCACTACATTGGGGCAAACAATCAATTCATAAAAAGAACTAAGACAACCCTTCAAAATCAGAGTGCTGTAGTCAAGAACCTGGAAACTCAGATGGGATATATGGCACTTGCTATATCAAGCAAGGCATCAGGTACTCTGCCAAACAATATTGAGACTAACCCTAAGGAGCAGATAATGGCCATAAGTATTTTAGAGGATGTAATAATTGAGGACCATCTATGAAAACAATCACAACAAGAAGTGGAGTACAGTTGCCAAAGATCATAGTCAAAAGATTAGTTATAGTGATAAACAAAGTGCATACAATAGACAGGAGCAAGTGGATGAGTCTGAACAATCAATTGAGACAATATTGAAAGAGAATACATGCTATCTACAAGCTATGGCAGCTAATCCGGTCAAAGAATATGTAGCTCCCATCCTATTTTCACAAAGGTTGAAGAAACACAAGCTCAATAACCACTTTGAAGAGCTTTTAAATGTGCTAAAGATACTTCACATCAATATTCCATTCATAGACGCGATGAGATAGATTCCAAGCTATGCAAGATTTTTGCAGGACATAATATTAAGGAAGATAAAGTTTTCAGAATTTGAGACTGTGGCGCTGAAGAGGAGAGCAATGCAAGACTACAAAATAAACTGCCTCAAAACTCAAGGATCTAGGAGTTTCATTTTACCTATTTTAGTTAGAGAAGCTGGTTCTTTCAATGCTTTATGAGATACAGATGAAAGTATTAACTTAATCCTTTTATCCGTATACAGAAAATTGGGATTAGGAGAAGCAAAAGAAACAACAATATTATTGCAGTTAGCTGATAAAAGCATCAAATATCTAAGAGGCAAGGTTGAAGATATAATCATCAAAGTTGGCAAATTGATATTTCTAATAGACTTCATTGATCTAGACATAAAAGACATGTATATTCTAATAATCTTGGGGCGACCATTCTTAGCAACAGGTCGCACCTTGATTAATATGGAGAAATCTGAGCTTATCTTGAGAGTGGATAAGAAAACAAAAATTTTTTAAATTACATAATACATAAAAACAATCATCAGACCTCGATGAGTATAAGTGCATTGATGACGATGAACTATTCATTAAATGAAACTGTCTAAAAAGAAAACCAAAATTTGGAGGCATTATTGGTAGAGAAAAGAACGGCGAATTTATAGTTTTGAGAGCCTAAAAAGGATGCAAAGCTGGAAATTGCAAGTGGTGCAAGGACGAAATATTTCGATTTAAACCACTATAAGTATATCACCCAAAAAGTTGTGCATTAGACTCGAAATCGTGCGCTTAATGGGATGCAACCCATATTTCTATCCTTTTTTTTTTTTTTCATATTTTGATAAATTATTGCATTACAAGTAGTTTTATGAATTGCATTTATTTTAGGAAAACATGCATTTAAATGGTTTATTTTTAACACACCTTAGGCAATATTTTACGACTTGCATTAGTAACCTAGGCATATTTACTTTTTGAGTTCATTTTGCATAGGCTCATTGTTAACATTCTAGCATTATATTCAGTCTACATTGATGTGATATAGATTACTAAGGTTTTACATAGATTTCAATCTCCAACCCATTTTGAAAGATTTATCATTTCCTAGCTATAGGATTTTTGTAGGGATGAAGCTATGTTAGATAGTCTTTCCAAAAGTTACAAGATTATAATTTTCTTGGTATGAATTCATTACAAATATCTAAACCTTATTCTCTATCACTAATATTTATTTTGAATGCTTGAAACAAAGAAAAGTGACAGTTGTCATGACGTCTAACAACTGGACCAGTTTGATCCTTTTTCAGCATCTACCCCAGGGAATTTCTAATCCTTACTCATTTACTTTGATTATTTTTGCTTTTACATGGGTGCAATGTAATATTTTTGTTTGGGGATGGATAAGTATTAGGGTACTTTGAATATATATATTTTTTCTCAATTGCTAATCGGGCCTGTATAAAAGAAATAAAAAATAGCGTCTAGTTAGTGTTGACAACTTGCCCCCTATGTCAGTTTTTGGCTTGTTTTA